GATGAAGAATCGAAAAATGATTTTTTCTCAAATATTGGTGTTCATTACTCAGTCCCTGAATCTTTTTCTCAAATGTTTGGCTTTGCTTTTTCCGAAGAGGATATCAGTAAAGCAATTGAACAGCTTCAAAATGAAAAGAAAAAATTTAACAAAACTAATAGAGAAATTACTTCCAATGAAAATAAAAGAAAATTATCATGTTCATATACTATGTTAGCCAATTTTTTTTTAATATTATGGAAAGTTAGAGTGTGTATTTGTCTCATAAATCTTATTTCTTAAATTCCTTTAAATTCCCTAGCAAAATTCTCCAAACTCCATATTTAAAAATACGGATGAAATCCTTCAGTGGATATACTAAATACTTTTCATCTTTTTATTAACTAATAGTATTCAAGATATCTTTTAAATATTTGTTCCTCGCATTTTATTGCATTGATAATTTCTAATTAATGCATAGAATTAAAAAATTCAACTTTAATTTTTGTAATAATTGATTAATTTTTAATTTTTTACTAATAACAACAAGATAAAAAATCAATTCAACTATTTTTAATTATATGGCTTTTTTTCATCTGCATGAAATAAAAAAAAGTTTTAAAATACCATTGGACAAATAACAGTATTTACAGTGGTTTGAAATAATGTGTAAAAATTATTTCATATTTTACTTCATGTTAATTTTGCTTGGCTTATACTATATTTAATTTTGCTAAAATTATATTTTAATCTTGCCTGGAATTATGTTTGAAATTCTATTTTAAACATTATTTTTTAATTTGCCTGAACCATAAAATAAAAAAAAAAACTAATAAACTAAAAATAACCGAGGTACAAAAGGAAAATTCAGTAGGTAGAGCTGTAAGCTGGCCAGCTTTTTGGGATAATTTACTTGACAATAGTAACCTACAATTCTAAGTTACATACCTCTCATGTAAGCTAACCAAATATAAAAAGTTGGCCAGCATTAAGGCAAAAAGATTTCTAGCTGACTTATAAGAGTAAAGTGCTGTTATATATAGGATCATTTTATGGAAAAAAATTTTTTTTTTTTTTTGTATTTTAATTAATAACACATCAAAAAATAGTATTGGAATGATGGGATTTTTGTAAGATCGTAAGACATTATATGAAGATTTGTAAAAAGGGTAATTCAATTATATCAGGAGTCATAATACCAAAAAAATAAACAAGGGATTTATTAAAATAATTGTATTATTTTTTTAAAAAAAAATTGGAAAGTATATTTATAACATAATAAAAAATATAATGACAAATGCGGTTAAAAAA